TTTAAAAAAAAAAAAAAAAAAAAAAGGCTAACAGATTCATTTTGAAATATATAATATGCTCCTTGATTCTTTTTCATTTATGTAGACCTAAAATCTTGTTGATTTATACAAAAGATTTAATTACAGGAAAGATCCTTTCTTTTCAGACATGGAAGTCCTTTTCCTATAACAAAGCATCCAATTCCTCTTTTAAAATATGATTACTCAAATTACATAGGTATAAAAATGGTAATTTATTCAAATCCCTTTTCATTAGAATTGGAAACAAATATTTCTGTGAAATGTGAATTGAATTAGGGATAATTCTTCTGTATCTCTCTGTTAAGGCTTTTTAGAATGATTATGAGCAGTGTAATAAAATGTGTGCAGTACTTCATGAATTTAGAATTTATGAAGTATGCATTGGTATTTAGGGGGGTTATTTTTTAAACCATGCAGATGCAAATGACCCTCGTTCTATTGTATGTTTCATCATTAAATGTTTCCCTCCTCTTTAATATAATTTTTTATGGTAACCTTCAGCATTTAAATTCTCCCTCAGTAAACTTGCACAAATCAATTTTAAATCGAAGCAACTTGTTCATTCAGACTATTTCTATAAAAATAATATCCATCTGAAGAAAAAATAAAATCACTCACACAGAGATCTGTTGTCTGTATGTTAACTTCCCAGAGGCCAGTTTTTGTGGGACAGTCTTCACTTCAATGAGTGGAGAAAATATTCATATGCTGGTTAAGCCTCAGAGCTTTCTGTAACACCAGCATGTCTTTTCATGAATCTTAGTATTTCAGATGGACTTCAGTACATCACGTATATTTTTATTTTCACTTTTGAATTAATTTTATTTGATTTAACTTTTTATTTATACAGTAAAAAACACGTTTTGAAGATTGAAATAAATAAAAACATAACCAAGCCCAGGTAGAGTCTTAGCTGTAATTTTATATGAAGCTTTCAAGTGTATGCTTAGACAATATATGTCATTTCGTGGCTGTTCGTGTTGAGCCCCGTGTTGGAATGATCGTATTTGTGTATTCTACTAGAAAAAAACAAATTGTTTAAGTCTTTGCGTTTTTTTTTTTAAAAAAAACAACAGGAAATAGGACAGTGGAAATCTTGTTTGAGTTTACTAAAGAAAGCAACAATCAGCTAGGTTATAGAATGGAACTAAACTACTCTTGCTGTAAGAAAGCTACCTAACCTACTAGTCATATTAGGCAACTTGCTAAAAAGTCCAGATGATTCTGACACTTTTTATTTTCTTGTTTTATAAATGCACACACAAACTTAAATTGTCTGGCGAAATTATTTGTAATTCAAGTTTCCCTTGCTCTATGCAGGTTCAGTATGTGTGAATTCACTTTTATGCTATGACACTTTTTATACCAAAAATTCATTGTATGTGGGGGGTGCAGGTTGTAGCCATGTTGGTGTAAGGACATAGGCAGACAAGTTTCTTTGAGTGAATCTGATATCTTTTATTAGACCAACTTAAATAGTTGGAAAACAATTTTTATGCAAGCTTTTGGGTTCAAAAACCCTTTGTCAGGCTGAGGAAGCTTCATGAGTTGCTGTGCGCTCTTCCTGGATGGAATGAAAAGTAAAGAAGCCAGAGACTGGGCTGGTATGCATACACAACAGGTAGTCAGTGAAAATGTAGATTGAGGAGTCAATGGGTGAGAGACAGGCTGGGTGGGGTGGGAAGAGAGAAGGGGGATGATTAGTGGAGAAGTACCTGGGGAGTCAGATGTCAGGCAGGTTATAATGTGTCATAAATCAAATGTTTATATTTAGTCAATGATTTTTAGT